TCGTCAGAATAAATACGTGGGCATAGGATATTGCGTTTAAACTCGGAATTTTTACGTTTCGGAACTTATAATTCTTACGCGCCTACTGAAAGTCGCGCTGCAGCGTCGTCACGAATGACACTCCATCGACTTAAAAACTACAAGGCGTCGTCAGAATAAATACGAGGGCATAGGATATCGCGTTTAAACTCGGAATTTTTACGTTTCGGAACTTATAATTCTTACGCGCCTACTGAAAGTCGCGCTGCAGCGTCGTCACGAATAACACTCCATCGACTTAAAAACTACAAGGCGTCGTCAGAATAAATACGAGAGCATAGGATATCGCGTTTAAACTCGGAATTTTTACGTTTCGGAACTTAGAATTTTTACGCGCCTTCTTAAAGTCGCGCTGCAGCGTCGTCACGAATGACACTCTATCGACTTAAAAATTACAAGGCGTCGTCAGAATAAAGGCAAGGGCATAGCTGTATAGGGTTAATTTTATTTCCAGAATTCATTAACGATATCGCACAAACTAAGGATCCGTGATAAACGATTCTTATCAGGTTAGAAGCGCTGATATCTTAGCTTTTCAACAAGACCAGGTTCATCTCGCTACGATTATTCTGTTCGAAGAAATTGACGATTATATCGAGTCCTGATCTCGATCTCAGCACAAAATTAATTTTATTTTCAGAATTAATTGACGATATTTCATAAACTAATGATCCGAGATAAACGATTCTTACCTCGATAGAAGCCCTGAAAACTTAGCTTTCCAACGAGACCAGGTTCATCTCGCTACGATTTTTCTGTGCGAGGAAATTGACGATTATATCGACTGGCGATCATAATCTCGAGACAAGCAGCAGACGGCTCGTATATGCGGCGTCTCGCGCGGCATCTGGCGCGGCGGTGTTTACTATCGAACACCTGCGCCTTGTATGTTTGATGCCAGTTTTTTGATGCCAGTTTTTTGATGCTCGCTTACTACTCGCATAAAAACTCTCGCGATATTCTCAGAAGAATGGTGCGCGCGCGCCCGATTTTTAAAACTCTATAACTCGGCGAAAAATCGACGTAGCGAGATGAACTAAAAACCAATCTTCTTCGTTTCGCAACCCGCAGATATCTACGTTGAATATGTATGCCTTTTTCATAGAACATGTGTCGGGGCATAGGAAATCGCGTTTAAACTACGAAATTCTTTATTTTTGGGACTTGCAATTTTTTGCACCAACATTAAAGTTGCTGCATCGTCGAAGATAATGAGACTTTAGCGAATCAAAACTTACGAGACATCGTTAGATTTCATACTGGGGTATAGGATATCGCGTTAGAACTGCAAAATTATTAATTTTCGGGACTTGCGATTATTTAAAAATGACTAATTATTCAATCTATAGTTATTCATACATTATAATAATTGAAATTTACATTTAAATTTGTACATTATTATTTATTATTTTTGTTTGCTATATTCCATATTTCCATTTACACTCAGAACGTTTATCAGTTTATAACCATAATTGTATTCATATATATCTTATGATAATGAATTATGAAATAAACTATCATCATTCATGTTTTTCTTCATAATACGTGTTTTGTACATTTTTTTATGTTTTCCATTTACTTTTATGTGATTTTATATTTTATGCATATTTTTACTATTTATATATTTTACTTATAAAATGAACTTGTATATGCAAATGTACTGCAATATGTTTAATTTGGGTTTCAATTTAAGTTAATGTATTGTACAATAAATAAAAATTACTTTTCAGTATAAATAATAATACTCCCCTATAATATGTATAGTATTATAATTTATATATTTTAGCTATAAAAATCATTCAAATCAGTATTTATATTATTACTACTATTTAAATTTACCGCCTAAACATGCATATTTTACTGTATCAAAGATGGCTGTCGGGGTCTTCAAATCGTAACATACTTTTTCCACAGCATTCACTATCCAGTGTTATATTGAGATCAGTGGCTGTAACACAGTGTTCCTGTGCTTCGTCCGGTTTTCCCCACTTAACATTACTTCGTGTGTCTACAACAAAAACATAGCTTTTCACTCTTCTATCATACATTAGAAAGGTACGTTGTACGTTAAATAATTTAATTCCTTACCTGTTGTTTTATGTTTTAAATAGAAAGTGTAAAGAATAAAATATATTAATGCTGCAAGTGCTGCAAGTACTGAAAATATTCTTAGAGTTATTATACCGCCAAATGTTTTATATAGGAAACCCCCTACCAAACTGCCAATTGATAATCCTAAAAATATTATAACAGTATAGCATCAAACAACAATGTGAGTAATGAGATATACAGATACATATACTCCTTTCATAACTACTCTTTCACATATGCAGACTTTACTAATAGTGTAGTTTTTGATAAATGCAACCGCGCAAATCATACCGAAACCATCCAGTAAACCGGAAACCAGTCCTTGAACAGTAGCTGCAGCACCGGATGGTGACACTACGTTTGCGTAGAGCATTATTGTTGCGTAACAGAGCGCATATGACGGTCCCTGTAAAAATTCTATCCCAAATACCCACCAAGGCGTCGGCGCTAAAGTTATTAATCCCAGCCGAAGTGCGTAGCATATCAAAGAAAATATGATAGTATAACTATATCCAAGTTTTTGCAATATTTTGCCTAAATAAAGAATATCAACGTTATATTTATTAAAAATGGTATAATTTCTGTAAAAATCGTATGAGTGTGAAATTATAATAAAGACATAGAGAATTAATATATTACCAGATATAAAGAAAAATAGTATTTCGCTACCAAAAGTCTGCATCGCTACAATTAAACCTTCTATCAATTTAATATTGCTCATGTAACCAGTTTCAATAGCGAGATCTTCTAGGTACCTATAAAATCAAGCTACATTATAGTATATTGGTACAAGCGAGGCCAGAATATAGCTAATAAAGATAAAAGAGTACCAAAATAAAAAAATACTCAGGATGCTATTAAGGCAGCCGACAAATGTAACGAAACACAAAGATACAATGATAGATTTTGATTTCAGGAGAGTAAATACATCCTTCAGTATGGTTGTCGACGTTGATTCAAATGGCAACTGTAACATTATAAATGTATACTTATGTTTCATATATGAACATGAGAAAAACTGTGTTTTATCGTTTTGTTTCATTGTTCAATTGGCACAAATGCAATTACCTTTAATTTTATACAACAGATTATATCGATACTAGCAAATATAATCGAAAAAAATAATGATGGTGTATAAATTTTGTAGGCTTCCCCCTGTGACCACAAGTCTATCATATATCCAGTTAAACATGCTGTAATACCGAAACCGAATGTACTCCAAAGTCGTACTTTACCGAAATTTAACCGTTTACCTTCTCCTACAATGGTAAACATTGTTAATAATAGTATGTATTTTTGTTCTATAATATTAAAACCGATAAAATTGTTTATAGTAAAGATTCAATTTGTATACAAATTTTTATTTTAATGCCATTTGTTCTAAAATTTTTGTTTGTAAAATGACATACCAAATGTGACGAAACAAATCGCAGTGCTTAAGCTAGTGAAAACATAAATTGCACATTCTCCCAAACACATCAACACGGCAAAACTCCAAAATGTGAAAGATGTATATAGACATTGATTGTCGTTGAAATTGTCGCAAGAAACATTACAATTATAATTTGTTACATTTCCTTGACACGTTGATGTCTGATTGATATTTAATAAGCACGTAGTGTCTGGTGAGATAATCGCTTTCTTTTGATCTCCATGAAAAGACAATTGCATGGAAAAATTATTATTCTCACATGTCCAATGACACGTTGTGTCTTTTGTGCCGTTACACGATTGAATTGCCGATGCATGCTTGAGTAAAGAACAAATAAAAATGAATTTATTGTTAAATATGTAAAATGTTGTAGAAACTTTCATTATTTTAGAAATCTTAGGATTTCTTGTTGAATTATAGAAAATAGTGTACGATAGTAAATGCTCAAATTTAATGTAAAGCTTAATCAGTTGCTTTGGGAAAATTTATCGTAGAAAACCTTAAAATTTTACTTTAGAAATATAACAAATATGTGAAATTAAATTTGGACACTTCAAACTTTTAAGGTAAACTGAAAACTTTAAGAATTTAATAGAAAATTTTGAGAATTTTGAAAAGTTTGTGTTTTAATTTATAATACCGCGTGCGATTTTCTTTTTACGAGAAAGTACAATGCCGTGCCTTTAGCGATTACTTCTATAGGCTTGACTATCTAAAAATTATTTTAAGTGTACAAAATTACTGTTTTGTTTTTAAGTTTTTTGTTTTAAAAAAATTGAAGTGTACAAAATTTTTTTAAGTTTTAACTACGTTAAGTAAACTGTTAGATTTGAAAGATTACTTTTTGGAAACTTTAATTTCGTTTAAAGTAAATTTTCCCAAGAGTTGTTTTACCAAATTGTAAGTATTATAAACTTTTTAAATAAATTTTTATTAAATTTATTTAAAAAGTACACTGTTTTGAAAAAACTGTAAACTTACAGATTCCATATCGCAATGTGGTAATGCTACACAAGACATGTTGTGAAAATGATATTTTGCTGGCATCACACCTGGTAGTGGGGGTAACAGAAACAGCATAACGAAACAACTGTTTGCTACGATAAACAATGACAGATAAATGCATTTTCTCCATGCTTCAAAATAGTCCATGAGAAAGCCAAATGTTGGTCTCGTAATTAGAAGCAAAATAGAAAAAGTCGCATCGATGCTACCAATAAGTGATGGTGAAATACCGAGTTGTTTTCCGTAAACTTGTAGAAATGGTACGGTAGGGCCTACACCTAAAATTAGAAGATTAATTGTATATAAATCTATTAATTTAACGAATTATATTTTTATAAATAATATAAAATGTATTAATTCTAAATAAGTCCATATTATCGTATGTATAACACAAATATGTTTCTTAGCTATTATATGTATATGCACGCACGCATGTACGCATATCTGTTAACTACTGTGTCAACTTTACTACAGGTAGAGAGGAGAAAATAAAAAAGTTCTTTACCGTTTTGAGAATATTTCACTAATTTAGAAGGTAAATAATAAATAAAAATCTGTGAATATATTTCAACGTCTATGCGACTCGTTGTCAGCAATGAGAGGCAGCTCTGTGTTACGCACTATTTGTTGTTGGTAAAGGAACGCTTCTCCCAAAGCTTAGCATAACGCTGGGTTGTTTTTTTAATGAAATATAAATTTACACTTAATCGCCGATTTTTACTAATTTATTTATCATTAATTATTGAGAAACACACGAAACGATAAAGGAATTTCAATTCATTTTAATTCGTTTTAATAACTAGTAGAGATGGCACGATAATTAACGAAAAACCTACGTATATGCATATGTATGTGTAATATGATATTTTAAAGACAGTCTAATTACTTACTTCCCAGGAAAAAGAAAAAATGGGCTTTCATAAGCAGATGAGTGTAGTGGATCTTCATTATTTATATTACAGTACAAATTTCAAGCTGATATAATTAATAAACTTTATATTTTACTATATTACGTTCTTCTGTAAGAACGTATGTTGACGCTAAGTCCGAACTGCAAGGCGTGAAAACGAATTGGTAAGAAGTATTAACACCCAGCAAGGTGAAGAAAATTGTATCTTATTTAATCTAGGACTAGCTATATTAATATTACAACTAATTAGTGTCTAAAACTGTAA